AAGACGGTCCCAAGACGCCCCAGGACGGCCCCAGGACGGCCCAGGAGGCGCCCCAGACGGCCCAAGAGGCACCCAAGACGGCCCCAGGAGCGGCCCAAGACGGCCCAAGACAGCCCAAGAGGCGCCGAGGCGGGCCTCAGACGGCCCCAAGACGGCCCAAGAGGCACCCAAGACGGCCCGAGAGGGCCCTAAGACCCCCCCGGGAGGCCCAAAAACAAGGCCGAAGAGGCTCCGAAACGGCCCCCACGAAGCCTTCAGTGGCTTCAGAATTCCCTCCAGGAGCGGGGGAGCGGACGAGAGGCGACAGGCATATCGCAGGCAAAAACGCCCCAAGAGATCCCCAAACGGCCCCCACGAAGCCCTACGTGGCCTCAGAATTGCTTCCAGGAGGGGGGGAGCGGACGAGAGGCGACCGGCATATCGAAGGCACAAAAGAACAATGTTGGACGCTCCGAGGGCCTTCGATGTTTCTCTGTTGGGGAGAGTCGTCGTAGGATCGACGATTGCCGACCGAGGGCATGGAGAATCCAGCGAAAGAGGAGAAGAAGGTGGAAGAGGAGGAGGAGGAGGAGGAGGAGGAGGAGGAGGAGGAGGCGGAGGAGGAGGAGGAGGAGGGGGAGGAAGCAGCAGGACCTCCGAGCAGCAGCAGCAGCTGAGGAAAACAGGAGAGCAGGAGGTCCTGGAGGGTGTGGAGAGCGCCTTCAACTGGCCACGTCGAGCTGATGTCGTGGACGGAGTCCACAGGTCTGCCCTAGTCAGCTACAGCGCTGGGATCAGTGCGTGCGAGAAGTGTGAGCAGTGGCAGCGGGCCCTGGCGCTGCTGAGCCAGATGTGGGAGACGAGGCTGGAGCCCAACGTCATCTCTCCTACATGGCCGGTGGAAGCGCGTGCGAGAAGCCTAGGGCCTCAAGTGGACAAAATCGCCCCTTTACGGCGCCACCACGGGGCCGAGGCGCTCCAGAGGGGTTCCCAGACCGTCCAAGAGCGCTCCAAGACGGCCTCAGTGGGTCCCGAGACGGCCCACGAGGGCCCGAAGCCCCGAAGCCTTCCGGGGGGGGGGGCTCCACGACGATCCAAGAGGCCGCAAAGATGCCCCAAGAGGGCCCCGAGCGCACGCCAAGGAGGCACAAATCGTAAAATTCCCATCGGAAAACGTTTATTTTCAGCATGCCCGCCTCGAGTGCTCCTCAGCGGCCCAGGACACGCCAAGAGGCCTCCCAAATCGCCCCAAGAAGACGCCAGCGGTCCCTAAGAGGGCTCCAGGACGGCCCACAAGAGCCCCAAGACGACGCCAGAGAGCCCTGAAACGGCCTCACGGAACCCCAAGACGGCCCCAAGAGAGCTCCGAGGGGGCCCCAAGAGGCTCCCAAGACGGCCTCAGGCAGCCTCAAGAGAGCTCCAAGACGGTCCAAAGTCCTCCAGGACGCCCCGTGACGGCCCAACCAAAACGCTCCCGGAGCAGCCCAAAAAAGCTTCAGAACGGCCCGAAAAAGACCCCCACAAGGACCACCAAGCAAGCCCAGACACGCCCATTAAAAGAGCGATCTGTGAAGTACAAAGCTCTTCTCACCAAGGCTCCCAAGAGCGAGCCGCAGCGTAGAGAGCTCTCCCAGGCACAGCTCCCAAGAGCGAGCGGTGACGTGACCAGCCCTTCACACAGGGGCTCTCAAAAGCGAAGGGCGCCATGAGCCATCTCGGGCCGATTCCTCAATCGCCCATTTCGTTTCCGAGCCCGCGCAGGTCTCGCGCTCGTGGACGAAGTCCACGGGTTCGCCCTAGTCTCTTCTACAATGCAGCGATCTTTCCGTGCCAGGAGGTCCTCTGTCTTGAAATGTTGGCCGGGCTCTCCAGGCCGCCTTGCGAGCCCCTGGGCCGCTCCAAGACGGCTCAGAGACGCCCACGAGGGCGCCCGGACAGACCAAGAGGGACCCAACACAGCCCCAGGTCGGCCCCAGAGGCCTCCAAGGCAGGCCAGGAGGCTCCCAAGGCGGCCCAGGAGGACCCCCAGGAGGGACCCAAGAGGCAAAAATGCCCCATTCCCTTCGGGAAACGTACATTTTTCATATGCTCGCTCTTTTCGTCTTCACCGCGTCCAAGACGGCTTTACAGGCCTTCCCGATCGCCCCAAAACGCCCCCAGGAGGGCCCCCAAACGGCCCGCGACGGCTCCAGAGACGCCCTAGACGGCCCCAGAGGCAATCAAGACAGCCCCAAGAGCGGTCAATAACGGCCCAAGACGGCCCCAAGACGGTCCGAGCTGCGCCCAAGACGGCCCCACACGGCCCAAAGGGCCTCCAAGTCGGCTCAATGGGGGTCGTGCGTGCATGCCGCAGGATCAGTGAAGTCACAACCGCCTCGAGCTGGCCCCGGGTCGCCCAGGGACGGGACGCCCAGGAAGGCTCCAAGACACGCCAAGAGGGCCCGGACAGGGTGGGAGCGCTCCCGAGGGGCCCCAAGAGGGGGCCAGGAGGGCACCAAGATGGCCCCGACAAGGCCCCAAGACGCATGTACTTGGGTGCCCATCTCGCAAGCCCAAGAAGCATATCAAGTACACGCGGTTTGGGGCCCTCTTGGGGCCCCCTTGGGGCGTTCTTGCGGCCCTCTTGAAGCCTTCGGGCCCCTCCAAGACAGGGCCGGGCGCATTTTGCCATAGAGAGGACCGTCGTGGCAGAATGACGGGCCCGCGCCCGGCGGCGTCCTGGGGCCCTCTTGGAGCCCTCATGGACCCAAGACAGTCCCAAAGACGGCCCCAGACGGCCCGAAGACGGCCCAATAGGCGCCCAAGACGGCCCACGACGGCTCCAACACGCCCCCGAAGGTACTCAAGACAGCCCCAAAAGCTGCCAAGACGGTCCAAGACGGCTCCCAGACAGCCCAAGAGGCGCTCAAAACGGCCCAGGACGGTTCCGAGACGGCCCAAATGGCACCGACGAGAGCCCACGAGGGCCCCCAGAGGCCCCCTCGAAGCCAAGAGGCTCCCACACGACCCCTAGGAGACCCTAAGTGGCTAACCGTGGGATCATCGCGCAGGGGCGTCGCGCGCCCGAACTACCTCCCCGCAAGCGCTCTGTGTCTCGCCGCCGCCGCCGCCGCCGTCATCGTCCCCGTCGGGCGGCGCCGGCAGGCGCCGCGGAGCGTGCCGGTGCAGCTCGGGGCGCTGCTGTGGAAGGGGCGGATCGCCTTTCGGCACCATTCCCGCCGCTCGCCCCTAGAATACTCTTGGCCAGATGTCGTGGACGGAGTCTACGGGTCAGCCCTAGTCTCTACTACATTGCAGGGCCCAGTGCGTGCCAGAAGGGCGCAGGCTCCAATGAGTCAAAACCGCCCCGGGCTGGCCCCGGGCCACCCCGGGCCGCCCAGGCAGGCTCCAGGACATGTCGAGAGGGCCCCCAGAAGCCCCCAAGACGGCCCTGGAGAGCCCGGGCACGCTTAAAGATGGGCCCAAGACGCCCGAGATTCGCCCCAGACGGCCCAAGAGGCGTCCAAGACGCCCGAAGAGGCCTCCCAAGAGGCCTCCCAAGAGGGCCCCGAGCGACAGAAATCGTGGATTTCTACTGTGTTTTTCGATGTTTTCGGCCTCCTCGCCTCTTCAGCTTCCCGACGCTCCAAGACGGCCCAAGAAGTCCCCCCGACCGCTCCAAGACGGCCGAAGAGGACCCCAAGAGAGCCCCAAGACGGGCCAGGAGGGCCCCAAGACAGTCCCAAGACGCCCCAGGACGGCCCCAGGACGGCCCAGGAGGCGCCCAAGACGGCCCAAGAGGTACCCAAGACGGCCCCAGGAGCGGCCCAAGACGGCCCAAGACAGCCCAAGAGGCGCCGAGGCGGGCCTCAGACGGCCCCAAGACGGCCCAAGAGGCACCCAAGACGGCCCGAGAGGGCCCTAAGAGCCCCCCCGGGAGGCCCAAAAGAAGGCCGAAGAGGCTCCGAAACGGCCCCCACGAAGCCTTCAGTGGCTTCAGAATTCCCTCCAGGAGCGGGGGAGCGGACGAGAGGCGACAGGCATATCGCAGGCAAAAACGCCCCAAGAGATCCCCAAACGGCCCCCACGAAGCCCTAAGTGGCCTCAGAATTGCTTCCAGGAGGGGGGGAGCGGACGAGAGGCCACCGGCATATCGAAGGCACAAAAGAACAATGTTGGACGCTCCGAGGGCCTCACCCGCAACCGCACCCCCCCGCGCTTGCCCAGAGACCCTCGCCACGTCGAGCTGATGTCGTGGACGGAGTCCACAGGTCTGCCCTAGTCTTCTCTACTACATTGCAGGGCCCAGTGCGTGCCAGAATGGCGCAGGCCCCAATGCACCGAAACCGCCCCGGGCTGGCCCCGGGCCGCTCAGGGCCGCCCAGGCAGGCTCCAGGACATGTCGAGAGGGCCCCCAGAAGCCCCCAAGACGGCCCCGGAGAGCCCCGGCACGCTTAAAGATGGGCCCAAGACGCCCGAGATTCGCCCCAGACGGCCCAAGAGGCGTCCAAGACGCCCGAAGAGGCCTCCCAAGAGGCCTCCCAAGAGGGCCCCGAGCGACAGATATCGTCGATTTCTACTGTGTTTTTCGATGTTTTCGCCCTCCTCGCCTCTTCGGCTTCCCGACGCTCCAAGACGGCCCAAGAAGTCCCCCCGAACGCTCCAAGACGGCCGAAGAGGACCCCAAGAGAGCCCCAAGACGGGCCAGGAGGGCCCCCAGACGGTGCCCAGACGCCCCAGGACGGCCCCCGGACGGCCCAGGAGGCGCCCAAGACGGCCCAAGAGGCACCCAAGACGGCCCCAGGAGCTGCCCAAGACGGCCCAAGACAGTCCAAGAGGCGCCGAGGCGGGCCTCAGACGGCCCCAAGACGGCCCAAGAGGCACCCAAGACGGCCCGAGAGGGCCCTAAGAGCCCCCCCGGGAGGCCCAAAAGAAGGCCGAAGAGGCTCCGAAACGGCCCCCACGAAGCCTTCAGTGGCTTCAGAATTCCCTCCAGGAGCGGGGGAGCGGACGAGAGGCGACAGGCATATCGCAGGCAAAAACGCCCCAAGAGATCCCCAAACGGCCCCCACGAAGCCCTAAGTGGCTTCAGAATTGCTTCCAGGAGGGGGGGAGCGGACGAGAGGCGACCGGCATATCGAAGGCACAAAAGAACAATGTTGGACGCTCCGAGGGCCTTCGATGTTTCTCTGTTGGGGAGAGTCGTCGTGGGATCGACGATTGCCGACCGAGGGCATGGAGAATCCAGCGAAAGAGGAGAAGAAGGTGGGAGGAGGAGGAGGAGGAGGAGGCGGAGGAGGAGGAGGAGGAGGGGGAGGAAGCAGCAGGACCTCCGAAGCTGGAGCCCGACGCTATCATGATTGCCTTTCGGCCCTGCAGCCGCACCCCCTCGCGCTTGCCCAGAGACCCCTCGCCACGTCGAGCTGATGTCGTGGACGGAGTCCACAGGTCTGCCCTAGTCTGCTACAACGCTGGGATCAGTGCGTGCGAGAAGGGCGAGCAGTGGCAGCGGGCCCTGGCGCTGCTGAGCGAGATGCGGGAGGCGAGGCTGGAGCCCAACGTCATGAGCTACAGTGCTGGGATCAGTGCGTGCGAGAAGGGCAAGCAGTGGCAGCGGGCCCTGGCGCTACTGAGCGAGATGCGGGAGGCGAGGCTGGAGCCCGACGTCATCTCTCCTACCTGGCCGGCAGAAGCGCGTACTGGAAGACACTTATCAGTAGAGCCTTCCGGCGGGGCCCCGCGCGCTCCCGGACGGCCCCGAGGCCCTCCACGACGGCCTCGGAGGGCCTCCCCATGGAGGCTAGATGCTACAGGGCCCCGGACGGCCCCAGACGGTCCACGAGGGCTTCCGAGACGGTCCACGAGCGCTCGCAGACGCCCAAGATAGCCCCCAGACGGCCCAAGAGGCTCCCAAAACGTTCGAAGTGGGCTCCAAGAAGAGTCCCGAGAGAAGCCCGCGCGAGCAAAAAGGCCCCAGGACCGCTCCTGAGGCGCCCGCGACGGCCCAAGAGTCACCCAAGGCAGCCCCAAGAGCGGCCAAAGAAGGCCCAAGACGGCTACAAGACAGCCGGCCCCAGAGGCGTCCAAGACGGCCCCAAGACGGCCCAAGGGGCACCAAAGACTGCCCAAGAGGGCCCCCAAAGGCCCCCAGGAGGCCGCAAGACCGTCCAAGGGGTCGCAAAAGGCAACCAGGAGGCCGAAAAGAAACCCGGAGAGGCCCTCCAAACGGTTCCCAAGGAGAAGGAAACGCCCGCCATCAGTGGCCGCATAGGAGCGTTGTCCTCCTCCGTGGGTGCGGGCGCGAGCGAAAGAGCGCCGAATACTGCACAGCAACATGGGCGCTACTTCCCTTTTACTATTGCCTCCCAGCTCCAGGGCGCCCTTCGCCGCTGCCGCCAAAGTGAGGCGAGATACACCAGAGGCCTCCAGGGAGCGCAGTCCCCAACACAGTCTGATCCCAGAGGGGCGCGGAGACGGCGCCCAAAAGGACGTGCTCCCTGCGCGTCCACAGGGAGCCCTCATGCACAGTCCACCGTGCGAGTGCCCTGGGGCAGCATCAACCTCTCCCGTGGGCACGAAGCAGACAGCAGCAGCGGCGGCACACAGCCGCAGCAAGCAGCGGCAGGCAATGGGTAGAAGCACGCACCAAGCGGAACTGGCCATCAGCAACAACCTGCAGCCGCAAGCAGCACGAACACGCAGAAGCGGCACTACCAAGAGCACACAACAGCGGCAGCAAGCAGCAGCACGCAGTAGCATGCGCAGAATGTGAGGTCGGGCCCCGCAGTCAGATGCCAGTTCGTGCGGTGCCCAGAACCCACGGCGACGACGACCACCACCACCACGACAACGACGTCGACTACGACGGGTACGACGGCGGCCATGCGGCGGCGACGACAACGACGCCGACGATGACGGCGACGGCGGCGGCCCCGCGACGGCCAAACTGCTGGAGCGCTGATAAAGCTCGGACACGAAGGCTCGGTCTCGCTGTCGCCGCCCTGGCCGCCGCCGTGCTTAGAAGTTTTCGGCAAAATCTCCGTCCTTCCTCCGAGAACCATTCCAGAAGGATGTCGTGGACGGAGTCCACAGGTCAGCCCCCCCAAAGCGGCCCAAGACGGTCCACGAGGGCCTCCGAGACGGTCCAAGAGCGCTCGCAGACGCCCAAGATGGCCCCCAGACGGCTCCCAATACCCCGCGCAAGCAAAAACCGTTCAATCCCGATGGAAAGCGCACATGTTTGCAATTCCCTTGTTATACGCTGTCAACGCTTCCAAGAGGATCCCCGAGAGGCCCACAACATGCCGCAAAGATACCCCAAGATGACCCCACGCAGCCCCTGAGAGGCCCCCAGGGGCTTCAAACTTGCCTCTGCCAAGGGGGGGGGGTGCGGAAGAGAGGAGACCGGCTTATCCTCATGCCCTCCACTGCGACCGCTCCGAGGCGGCTCGGGCGCCCAGGTGAACGTGAGGTCCGACGATTAGACGCTGGAACAACTCACCATTTGGTTTTCTTTCTCTCTTGCATCGCCTCTCTCTTCCGCTCATGCCTTTCATCCATACCTCTCTCCCGCCCTCCGCCGCCGTCGTCGTCATCTCGCGCCGAGGTTCGAATCCAGAAGTTCAACGCTTTTCCGCCCTTGGGGGCCCGCCTCGTGTCGCGGCCAGGCGCGGCGCGGTAAGCTGGACCCTTCGCAGCCCGACAGGGGTCCGGGCCCGGAATTTATTTCGAGGGACTCGGGCCAGCCTCGCCGAGGCTTGTCCCAGCTTTCGGGAGCTCCGCTTGTCTTTGAGGGGGTTCTTTCTTGTCCTCGGGGTCTCTTCCGGCAGCCGCGCTTCGCCGACAGCGTTTTGGAAAAGCGGCCCGAATCCCCCCGAACGGTTGCTGGAGGGTCCAAAAGCGACGGGACCTGGCCAGCGCCCAGAACAGCTGCCCGTGCATCCACACAGTCGGCTTTGAGACGCCGGAACCAGCGGGCGGGTTCCTCGGGCGGTTTCCAAGCCTGCTCCGTGGCCTCCCCGTCCCTCCATCTCCAAGCCCCTCCCCCTCCGTGGCTCCCCCCCCCCCTCATCGTTCCCATACCTGTCATTCTCACTACTCTCATTGCCGCTCGAAGCCAACCCCCCCTCGCTGCTCTATGCGCTGCTGTTTCCCTCTGTCCCTCTCGTCGTATCTCTCCCCCGTTCTCCTGTGGCTCTCCTGCTCCGTGGCGCCCCTCGCTCTTCTCCCGCCCGTCTCTGTGGGTGCCTCTCTCGTCGTCGTCGTCGTCGTCGTCGTCGTCGTCGTCGTAAGGCCGCTATCCTCTCGAGCCTTTGAGAGATCAGCGGCCTCCGTTCCCAGCCACGCGCCCCCGCAGGCGCGCGGAGACGCGCGCGGCCGCCGCGCGGCCGCGCCTGAGCTCGTGGCCCAGGCCTGCCCGGCAGGCAGGCATCGGTTACGCGGCACTCTCTCCTCCCCGACGCGCGTGGCGCGTGCGCGCAGCGTGGTGGCGTCGCACATGCTCGTGATTTGCGAGCCGCTCGTTCATTTCATCAACTGTATGAACCACACGTTGAGCATCGTGGGTTGGAACCCCTTCTCGGCCGTAGGTACAGGGCGCGACGACGAGATTAGTCGGGAGTTCGACATTTTCCACATTATATGTATGCCAGGCGCGAATATTAGAACCAAACAGCGCGCCGCTCATGTCTTTGACCGCGGCTACCGCCACTGGTTTCTACATTTCTGGTGGGGCCGAGGAAGCATTGCCAATTCGCTGGCGGGATGTAGCATAGGTTTTCGATCATCAAAAAATCGCCCACGCGACGCCATCCGCATCACCACCCTTCCGAGTGAACTACGCGGCTGTGGTGGGTGTGTTGATTTGTTTCAAGGTCGCCTCCGAGTGCGACTGATCGTCGCATACTTCCCGCTTCGCCCGTCCCAGAGGTCGATAGCTCAGATCAGGCAGTGGCGACTCACCTTTCAAAAATTATGGGATTGGGTGCGGGGCGAGGGCTCGCCAGCCCCAGCTCGCGTTGTCCCCGCTGCGTTTACAGACTGGATCAGCCGCTCGGGCGTGTGAATCGTGAATTTCGAGCCGACGAAAGCATTGGCCCTCACCAGGCCGCGTCAGAGACCGATCTGGGACAGCGCGTTCACAACCCCTTGCTTGGGATGGAATTTGCCGCCCCGAATACCTTTTACAATCTCGGATGGGACTCGAGAGTCGCGTTCGGGTGTCGATTAGCATCTCGTCCCTCAGTCTCTTCTGCCACTTGTGCGTCGCATGTGTTTGCGTTGGCGTTCACATCGTAGGCTCATTATCAACCGCGCATGCTCGATCACATTCCTATGGGAATGGGGGTGGCCATCGCAGCACCGCCCTCTCCGCGCGACAGGGGCTACTGCGCGTGGGATTGGGGCTCCTGGCAGCTGGACAAGAAGCAGGGTGCGTTCGCAAAGAATTATTGCACGACCTTCGCGCGTCCTTGACCCTGGCGGCCCCGCGTCTCGATGCTACCCTCGAGGACCAGGGCCCGAGCAGGCATAATGCTGTGGCATCATGATTGATCAGGACGAACGCCGAGAGACGCCATTCTAGAGACAGGTCGACTCTTCCGTGGGCAAAGGAAGACAGGGGGCATCGCATGCCACTTCTCAGGCAGCGATCAGCACTTTGCGAACAGGGCCTCGCCCCCGACACCCAGAAGATTAAGCGCTTCGAGAGGTGGAAATTTGCGCGGTGGCGGCGCAGTGTAGAGTCTGAACTTCGAGCAGCGCGGGCGCGCAGAGAGACGGCGCGCGTGGCCGAGCTTGCGCGTTTACATGCTGGTGCACGAACGGGCCCGCGCAAGCTTTCGCACCTCCCCCCCCCCCGGCTCGCCCTCTTGCCGACGCTTTTGTCGGCGCTCTTGCGCGGCCGGGCGGGGGGGGGTCTGGAGGCGCGCGAGGTCATGGAGAATCGGTGGGTCGCAGACCAGACAGCAGTCCAGAGATTATTAGATACCCCCTTTGATCAAGCACAACCTGTCGGGGTGGTGCGTGGGCCGCCCTCGAATATAGACTATGCCCAAGCTCTTGATGATTTGATGTTCATGCATCGCCGAGCCTACCGGCGACGCCGCCAACGACGCAACCCTCCACGGTCGTGGCCTTCCGCGATCACCACCGTGATTTTGAGCCCCAAATGGTTAAACAGACCAGGACTTCCGACGGCGGGTCTTGGACTCGAGGATGCTGACTACCCCTTCGGCCTCGGCCGGGCCCCCCCTCGTCCTCGGGTTAGGTGACCAGACAAACGGCGGCTCGGAGGTCTCAGCAATGACGTGATGCCGGAGGCCCCTGCAGTACGAGCACCCCTACTAGCGCACGTTCGACGATCTAGGCACTTGCCCCTCCAGGCGCGCACTAGCCACCATGATCAGTAAGAAGAACGAGCAGCCCACGGGGGACCCCATAAAGGACATCAGAACGCGCCTTAGGGTGATCCACTGTATCTGGCCGTGGTGGAGACGCCTATTTTCGAGTGGGGTTCTAGATTACGGATGCGAAGGTGTATTTCTCGATAGGGCACATGGGGGGCGCGGTGCAGGCGGGGAGGGGGATTGATGACCATTGCTAAGATCCAGGAGTGGAAGTTGCCCACGTGCACGTTCTCATGCACGATCAAGTCGCATGAAATGCGCAAC